AATTTTAATTTTTTACCTAAAGGAATCCAGAAAGTATATCCATATAAAATATTTCATTGAATTCTGTTTATTTTTCGATAAAGAGCCCAATGAAAAGATGCATAGATCTTTGAATATTTCTCTTGTTTCTCTTGAATATTGTTCTTGTTTCTATCTATGTCTATGACTGTTATTTCTATCTATTTAAATAAGATGTGGGCTACGTTCACATTGCATGTCTTACTGCTCAATTCCAATTTTTATATCAGAACCGATTTTTGGTCCCCGTTCATATGACCATCTCAGATTGTGTCACTGAAGTGACCCGCATGTGCAGAAGAACAATTAGTCTTGCGCCGATGTGTTTTTTGGCCCCCGATACCTGGCTGTGCAGTATTGGCCGATTCCGATACCAACTGAACCTTGTTTTGCAAAAAATGATGTTACCTGATTCAACATCCCTTTACCTATTTAACAGATCTATCAGATAAACTTATAAAACCATAGTCCAAATAATAAGCAAAATGAGGGGAGGAAGTGGCTGGGTGAATTAGTTAGGGGGGGTGGGGGGGCTCAGGTTGGGTGGCCTGTGCGGGGCCATGTGGGCCCCGATCCCGGGGGGGCTTGTGCTGGGGGTGTTCTGGTCTGGGTGTGGAACGGGGGGCCGGGCCCAAAGATGGAATGAAATGGGTTGTGTGGCAGTGTCACAGGTAGCAGACTGAAAATGTTTTATCATTATCTCCCTTTTATCTCCTCTTTCTTTCATCTTTTCTCCTTTTTTTTCATTTTTTTTTCCTTTTCGTTCTACCTACATTGCAGTGTCCATATAATCTGTAAAACTCCCTGCATATTTGTAATAAAGCAATTTCTATGCATAAATCAAGCCGAACACTATGGCGATAGCCGTAATGCTTCACTTGTGAAAGTAAAATCTGTTGGGCTCTTCTTGGCAATTATTCTTATTCTGTTGCCACATCGCCAGACAGGACACTGTAAAAAAAAAAAAAAAAAAAAAAAAAAAAAAAAACCATAGTCCATATTGTACTGTTCGATTTTAGGAGGGATATATTTATTTACCCACACCATTAAGAGCGCACACCCCTTCGGCTCTCTCTTAAATTTCCCCTCAGTTCGTTGGTTGTTAAATCATTGTTTTAAACCAGTTTCCTGATTCTCTGTGCTGGATGTCTTTCGTCAGAATACCCGACAAGCATCACTATGAGTTATTATTCCCCCTACCTCCAGAGCTGAGCCACAGCACACCTATTTCCTATTTCTATCACCACCATGAAGGTGACAGAGCAGGTCTCTTGGCAGGCAGCAGCATTTAGAGCGGCAGCCCAGATAAAAACCGGACACAAGATAGATTTAGGCGGACAGAGCTGCAGGCCGCATGATGTAGAAGTATTTGACCTATCCTCAGAAAATTAGATTGTCATGGAGAAGGTACAGGGTTGCTTTATGTACAACACAACCCTATTTAACCTTAATTTGTCCCCCTTATGACAAAGAATGAACAGTTAGAAAGATAATTAAAGGCATGTGTTAGAAAACCTTTAGTATGAACTTTTTAATTTGTATCTTACGTTGCAACTGATGTGGATTTTTAGGTATTATGTTTGATGTTAAAGCACATTTTGTCTAACACTGAATTTCCCTTTGGGAGACCAACAAAGAAACCTTGAAACTTGCTTCAGGCTGCAACACCTATTTCACTATATTTCAGTCAATGCTGCTGCTACAGAGTGACTGATTGAGGTTGAACAATGCTGGTAAATAATTTAATAGATAAGAAACTTGCAAAGTAGCTGATAAAAAGTTCAGCACTGCCTCCATCACCCGCCTTTGCACGCAGAAGCTTGTCATGTTGATTCTGAGGTCGTTTTTTTTAGCAAAGTGCCCTTGATTTCCTAGTCAACCAACTTATTTTGGGCAGGTTTTGATTCATTTATCCTTATGGGAAATTGTGATCTAAAATTTGCAATGGAACCTTCAAGATCATTTTCACTTGTCACCTTGGCAAGTTTTTGGTTTGCTGGAGGTGATTGTCCTGCATTATTATATCCAATACTGTAAGCAAGCTTGAAATGTTTCTTTTAGAAATGTCCACTTTGAGTGACTGGTTGGAGTTTTTAACCTCCCTCTGACTCAGTGGTGAACTTAGATCTTTTTGATGAATATGTTTCTCAATAATTTCTGAATGGAGTTTGTAAATATTGAATATATTGAGTGGGGTTGCACAGATACCAATATCGGGCGGGACCCCGATCCAGCACTAAAACTGTGGTAACTGTGGTATCAGCGAGTACCAACAAATAGGGCAAGGTTTATTCAACTATTGTCACCATTCCAGGTAGGCAAATAAAGTTCTACTGGATTCCCTTTGTATTAGTCTTTTCCCTGCTTCACAAAGGTAGGCACCAGCTTGACAAAGCGATGATGGCAATTATTTTACATCCAAGTAGTATGCAGTTCTTGATATATACACACACATCAATTTCAAACAGATGGTATCGGTATGGTATCGGTATCGGCCAATACTGCACAGCCAGATATCGGGTATCGGTGTCAAAAAATGGCATAGGCGCAACACTTGTTGTAAGACTATATGGTTTTTTTACGTTTTCTTTTTATTTATTTTGTCTTAAGTGAAATACACTACTCAAAAAAAAAGACCATTTTGTAATAAGAGTATAGCATCAAGTTAATTAAACTTCTGGGGTATTGATTTGGTCAGGTAAGTAGCAGAGGGGGTTGTTAATCAGTTTCAGCTGCTTTGGTGATAATGAAATTAACAACAGGCGCACTAGAGGGGCAACGAGACGACCATCAAAACAGGAATGGTTTTACAGGTGGAGGCCACTGATATTTTTTCCCCTCCTCATCTTTTCTGACTCTTTTTCACCAGTCTTTCATTTGGGTTGGGTCACTGTCACTACTGTTAGCATGAGGCGCTACCTGGACCCTACAGAGGTTGCACAGGCAGTCCAACTCCTCCAGGATGACACATCAATACGTGCCATTGCCAGAAGGTTTGCTGTGTCTCCCAGCACAATCTCAAGAGCATGGAGGAGATTCCACGAGACAGGTGGTTACTCCAGGAGAGCTGGATAGGGCCATAGAAGGTCTACAACCAATCAGCAAGACTGGTATCTGCTCTTTTGTGCAAGGAGGAGCAGGAGGAACACTGCCAGAGCCCTACAAAATGACCTCCAGCAGGCCACTGGTGTTAATTTCCCTGTAACATCATTCAGCATGACCAGTTTGGTGGTGGGTCAGTGATGGTCTTGGGAGGCATACCATGGAGGGACGCACAGAGCTATACAGGCTAGACAACGGCTCCCTGACTCCTATTAGGTATCGGGATGAAATCCTTGCACCCATTGTCAGACCCTATGCTGGTGCAGTGGGTCCTGGGTTCCTCCTGGTGCACGACATTGCACGGCCTCATGTGGCAAGAGTATGCAGGCAGTTCATGGAGGATGAAGGAATTGATACCACTGATTGGCCCCCACGCTCCCCTGACCTAAATCCGATAGAACACTTCTTGGACATTATGTTTCGATCCATCCGACGCCGCCAGGTTGCACCTCAGACTGTTCAGGAGGTCAGTAATGCCCTGGTCCAGATCTGGGAGGAGATACCCAAGGATGCATCCGTGGTCTCATTAGGAGCATGCCCCGTCGTTGTCAGGCATGCATACACGCACGTGGGGGCCATACAAATTACTGAATACCATTTTGAGTTGCTGCCATGAAATTTCAGCAAAATGGAATAGCCTGCCGCATAATATTTTCACTGTAATTTTTGGGGTGTCTTTGAATTCCGCCCTCTGTAGGTTGATAATATTTATTTCCATCAAATGATATGGCATCCTTTTGTTCCTAACACATCAACCAGTCCATATCAGTATAAGTAAACAGCATGATTTTTTGCCCCATTGAGATCTGATGTGTTTATTTATTTATTCGTTTATTTGATAGGGACAAGTATGTTTCATGCATCATGTCACACACTACAACATTTTTCGAAGTGTTCTTTTAATTTTTTTGAGCAGTGTATCTTTTTCTTTATTTTTTCTCTGTTCAGAAATAAAAAAATGGAGTTAAGTTCTATCTCTGATATGAGTTGTAAAAAAAAAAACAGATATGGCCATTTTAAAGACGCTAAATTGTTTTGTAGACCCTCTGTTCTAAATCTTTGCACAAGATGTCTTGCAAACCAAAGACAACAAATGGAAACAGGGTTGCTCTTACTGCTCGTGTGGACTCTGCATGTTCCACTTGTGCGTATTTAGATTTATCCTGCGGGATAATTTGGAACGCCAAGGTTCTGACAAGCCTCTTACCCACTGGCTATTAATCCACTCATTTAAAGGAGAAGGTTAGATGGTTAGGTCACTTATTTAGGATCTCCTGGTTCTTGTTGCTTTTCTGGTGTGAGTGAGCATCCTGTTTCAGATAGGATCTTTGCTGGTGGATGAGCCGACCCGTGTTGCTGCACACCTGAGAGCATTTCTCAATCAAACTGACTAGCGAGTATATAAGGAAGACAAGGATCATCTCCTTTCGCCGGATAATTACCCCTGCTGGTAGTCTATCTATAAACCTAAACCAGGAATATCTTACTTGATGAATCTGTCTTCTTCTGAATATCTTTAACTTGGACATTGCTATTGTTCCAGAAAACCAGTGAACCTCAGTTTGTCTCTGATCTTCATGGTAAAGGTATTACCTGTGTGCAGCAGGTCTCAGTCTTCATCAGCTGCCTCTCCAGCATGATAACTCTTACAAGTACAAACACTCTTAGATTTCAGTGAGATTCTCCTGGACCTCTGGTGTATAACCTGCAAAGCCCACTGAATCAAATGATCACTTCCACCTCTTCTTGACGGCAATAAAGAGTTTGTTATTGCTGGTGTGATGTCAGTTTTATTGCAACTCCTCTTAAATTGTCATTGCCAGTGACACCAACACCACCGTTGAACTAAAATACAACATAAGCTTAAGTGAGATGGTGTCATGAGTACACAACGATATAAAAAATAATATAGATACATATGAACATACCTCGCTGACTGACCGTTCTTTTTGAGGTAAAAATGAGTAATAAAGGACTTATTAAACGTAAGTTTCTTTTGTACAGCTTCTTGCAAATGTCATTCATTGTCATGATCTGCTCTGTTAGCTGGGCTTAATTACTTATATCATTCACCTGCCATTCCCGCCCGGCCATCTAATTACTTCTCATCTCATCCTCCTGCGGTCGGAGCTTTATATTCTGTCCAGCTCAACTACAGAGATCAGATCATTATTTTGTTTCTCTGTTCGTTTTCTGTTTGGTTTGTTAGTTGTTGTTTTTTTAGTTCTTTTCATGGTTCCTGTCGACCAGTAGAAAGAGATGGTTTTGGGTCTGTCTCGTCTCCTGATCGTGTCCTGATCCTGGTTGGACATCTTTTCTCTGTTTCCTCTCAACCACTGAGTCTGCCCGTCTGCATACGAGACTGCTTGATTTCATCTGTGCGTGTCGTTTTGGGCACACTTCTGAACTCTGTTGGACTCTGAACCTGCCTGGGAGCCCTAAGGATTCCTGGAATCCTGGATCCAATTGTTCCTGCCTGATCTGTCTTCCCCTGATTTGGATCGGCTTCCTGCAAGCTCTCTGAGGCTGCAGCATCGGGACACTCTGCCTGACGCACACTGCGTTGGTTGGAAGCCCATCGGCTCCATGCACCTCTCATGGACTGGTGACGGTGCTGGGCTGGACTATCAAACCAGGTAAATGACTCACACAGATAATCATCTCCTGTCAGATGATCGTGGTCACTTACCTGTGTTCCTCCCACAACCAGAGGATTTGGGCGGTGCCCCGCCCTCTTCCTGCAGTCCTCATGAGCCACAGCCCTGCACTCCTGTTCTGTTTCTGTTTGTTTTACGTTAATAAATGTTTTGAACTTTCCAACTGACTGTCTCACCTTGAATACTGGATCCATCTGTCCCGGTTCTTGACATTCATACTGTGTGCATCTTCTCTTCTGGTTCCCCAGCAAACATTCTAGCTTCAACTTCCTATATTAGCATTTCAAAATAATAGTTGTAATAACAAAAAATGTGCAAATACAAAATAAAACACTGAAACTAAAACTTTGTAGTAAGATTCATGCTACATCCTCTCATTCTCTAAACTAAGCAGATCAATCAATGATCAGTTGTCATCAATCAACTCCTTCCCGATCAGTCTGCTTTCTCCCCTCAGACCAACCAGAAAGTTACAACTAATTTCCTGCAGATCTCAGCCTCCAGATTCTTGTTTGCTTTTTATAAAAGTCTTTTTTTTTATTCACTGGTTTTTAGTGTGATTCTGCATATGGGTCTAAAAACTACAAACCAACATGACACACTCATCGTGAGTAGAAATACATAGATGGATGTAATATAACTACTGAGACTGTTCATTAATTCATTAAAAGAGCTTTAATTAAAGTTAATGGTTATTAAAGCCAATTAAGTTATTCTTTAAGAATTATGAGTATAAATGGAGATCTCTGGTAAGTAATACATCCAACTTCCGACCTCCTTCTTGTCATCAAACTGTGACCAACAGAAAAAAAGTCCATTAGAAGTCTGATATCTAAAGATATATGTGTTATGGTAGGGAAGTACTCCATTTTTAGATGCTTCCCAACATAATAACCTTTTTCTAAATAAATGGATAACATCACTCTACAGAACCCACCCCCCCCCAGTTAATTCATTGTCCCTTTTGATACATTTCATTTCAAAAACATAAAATGTTGTGGGAAAACTTTTAGGGAAGGGTTGAAAGGATTGTTAAACCTTACATTTCTTTTAGATAACTAAACATGCATTTCCTCAAATTTAGAGGTAAAGTACTTGTAGCATAAAATGGGCAAACACATTCGAGAAGATGATTTCATTTTAATAAAGGGATGTAACAGCAGCTGTGTGTTTGTTTTCTGTGTGTAACAGAAAGGAGATGCTGACAGGACAGAGGCTCTGCCATTCAAAGTCCCACCAGGACTCGGTTCTCTCTGCCCTCAACCAGCAGAGGAAGGATGGTCAGCTGTGCGACGTCACCCTGGTCGCCGGCGAGCAGAAGTTCCACGCCCACAAGGCCGTCCTGGCAGCATGCAGCGACTACTTCAGGGTTGGTACATTTCGCTCCCTTCCAAACTGTTTGATACATCACTGTCCTTTCTTTTTTTTTTTGGAGGCTATCCTCATATTGTGATTCAACCTGCCCTCCTGGGGCCCTAAAATGACATGAAAGCATGAAAAAAACACATTTTGAAGATTTTAATCCAAACTTCTTGTTGTAGAAAAAAAAAATCAATCAATTTTTGAAAGCAGAGACTGTAAATAATAATAAAATGTAAAGCTGTTTTCACCAAGGCCAGGTCCACCTGGAATGAACGCTATTATTTGTTGCTCAGGTTAGTCCTCAGAGGAGCTTCAGGCAGACACAAGCTGTCAGCTATCCAGACAGGAGATTTCCCATTGCACATATAGAAGTGCACCGATGAGATTTAATTTGGGGACTCTGAGAAGATTAGAAGGTAGATACTAATCCCTCTTCTAAATGAGAGGCAGATTAAATATGTCCAAGTTGCCCAGGGATTATGCCTCCCCTGTGTTACTCTGCGTGCCCAGGTTATTTTTACATCTCTCCACAGTGAGCTGATGGTGGGGGAGTCATTCTCCTCTCCTCCTTTTGTTCATCCTCTTCCTGTCTATCTCTCCTTCTCCTCTCTTCTCCAGATAGGTTTGTAAAGTGTCTGTCTTTTAAGCTTCATCTTGGCACAACAGCACTGTGTCTCCAGCTTCCAGATTATTAGATCAGCGTGCAACAGTAAGCAAGAAAAACGGACTTTGCAGCGGCGCTCTCCTGTTTCTCTGTATTGGCTTAACAATGTTATCTTCAATTTGTCATCTGACTCCATTGCAGGGTTTAATTTTGTTCGTTTGCTGAGGAGCTGAGGGCGGCTCAAACGGCAGCCGTGTCTGCTCTCTCTGCCTGCCTCTTTCTCCTCCCATTTAGAGAGAGAAACTTCAGCACTTGTGGTGATTATAACTCATTAGGTAGTCCAGCGGGAGAGGGTGACAGTCATAAAATACCTGAACATGCGTGACTAGGTGACTTGTTCTGAATATGTCATCGGCATCCATTCCCTGGTGAAGATGTTGGGACAGCTTAGGGAGACGTAGCCAAATCAGTCACATCAGCATCAGCGATGTGACCCATTCACAGTTTAACCTGCAAGCTCCTCAGTCAGCTGAGCTGAGTTTATCGGAACAATTTTGTTATCAACAGATTTAATCCGTTTAATCAGATTGACTTTTCCTTTTCTTCACTGAAACAGTCAGCTAATCACTGGAATAAAATTAAATCACGGAATAAAATTCTTCTTTTTTGGAAGTTATGAAACATCACCCTAAAGGTTTGTTTTAACTGACATACAGAGAGAAGGATGCAACCATTTCTCATTACACTTTGACTGTTGATGATGGTGTGGGTCTCCAAATGACAGGGCAAGGCCTTTCTGCCCTGAGCTGAGTGATGAACGCACAGCACATAACCATGCATGCCAACCTGAATGTCTTTGTCCAGTTCAACATATTAAAGATCTTATGAACATTGGGATCCTAGTCTGTGCCATCATATTGGCTCCTCAAATAAGAGATAACCTGTTACATGTCGAGACTGTGGTGGTGTTCAATATCGAGAGCTTTAACGCAAATTTAAAAATCTGTGATTTGAAAGAAAATTTCTAAAAACTCGTAGGGAAGTCATATTTAAATGTCAAATCATTCTGCCTTAAACATTTATATAAATTTACTTTTTATCAGATGATATTGTCCCAAAATTTAGAAAATTTCAATAAAAAAAAATCCTGTCTTAAAATCTGTGGGGTTTTTTCGTTATCTTATGCAGGCCAGTTAGTTATATGTCAGCCTGAACACCTAAATTCGGCCAATCATATATCAACGGTCATCTGTCAATAAAATTTTTTTGGTCATAGCATCTTGATTCATATGTCGCAGCTAATATGCGCAACGGTTGAATTAGGAAATAAGAATAATTTCCTTTCCCATTGAGTTCCGTCCCAGTGTTCACAGGGATGGACATCTGTGTCTTCAGCAGGCGTAGAGCTAACAGAACTGGCAGCGTTGCGAGGCAAGGGCTCAAACATGTACGGCTCTACACCAAACCAAGCTTCTGCCGCCCTGGCGCCCTCTTCCACAACATCTTCGTCCTTGCTTTCCTCATGTAAATAAAAAATGTATGAAGGAGAAGACTCATCCATGACCTCCGACACTAAACTCTCCTCCTCTTGCATGTTTCCTCTGTCCATAGCGTGCCTTGACAGTGTTGTTTCTAAGTCACCAATTTAGTGCTACTTGGTCCCAATGGAATTTCCCATTGGGAACCTACTAGCACTAAGTTGCTAACTGGTTAGCAAGATGCTTCCTACAAACCGGCCATAATCAAACTTGCTTGTGAACCTTCCGCCACAACAATCCCGCCCTCTTGATCAGGGGCGGACTTAGGAAATTTGGGGCCCTAGGCAAAGACAAGCATGGGGCCCTCTGAATTGAGAAGACAACATATAGAACAGACCCAGTATACAGATACAGAAATTATAATAGAATAGACTTAGATTATTTGTTCTACCTTTTGTCCCTCTCTTCTTATCCTTTTTGTTGTGGTTTTCTTCTGTGTTCTTTTGTCCCTTTCTGTAGTAGTCTAGGCAAAGGCAGGCACGGGGCCATCTGAAATGAGAAAACAACACACAAAACAACAGGTCAATTATACAAATTGACATTTTAAGAGAATAAACATGCATTATTTTACCTTTTATCCCTCTCTTCCTGTCCTTTTTTCATGTCTGTTTCATTTTACTCTTTTTTTCTTTTGTTTTATTCTCTTCCTGTCTTTTTCTCAGTCTGAGAAAAAGACTGAGACTTTCTTATTCTTTTGTTTCTTTTACTCATATTCCTCCTTGTTTCCCCCTTTTCTCTTCCTGTCCCCTTTTCTTGTTGTTTTCCTCTTAATGTTTTGTCCCTTTTTCCTAGTAGTTGTATTCTCTTTCTCCCTAAAATTTCATTTTTCGAGCCTTGGCCTCAGCAAATCTTGCAATGAGAAGATCCATATCCACTGACTTCCTGACTTCTTGCTCAATGGAGAGAACAGCGAGTGCAGACAGCCTTTCCTGTGACATTGTTGACCTTAGATATGTTTTAATTAGCTTCAGCTTTGAGAAACTTCTCTCACCTGAAGAGACTCTCACAGGTAGATTGAGCAGAAGTCTGAGAGCTATACTCATATTTGGATAAAGGTCTAGGATATTCTCCTTATAGATATAATCAAGCATCTCAGATGGTGATGAGATATGTATGGGGAAGGATCTAACTGCTCCCTTTACCTCAAGTTTCATATCCTCTGCATCAATGTCATCCATCGTCTGCTCAAGTCTCTGGCAACATTCATCCAGCTTCCCTTCCTTCTCAGTGCTTCTCATGACATCAGTGGAGTAGAGAAATCCATACAGCTCATAAAAGGTTTCCATGTGTGAAAATCTCTCCTTTAATGTCAATTAGAGGCAAGAAAAACTCTCTTTTTTAGGTCTCTTCTGCAGTGGATTGAAAATTATATATGTATATATATATATAAATAAATAAATAAAATATGTATATATATATATATATATATATATATATAAATAAATAAAAATGTCACAGGAAAGACTAGTGATGTTACATATGACAATTGCTTAAACTACAGAACAGTAAATTATTTAATTTATAATTAATGTGACCCTTAACATCCCCAGCTGTACACAATAAAACACATCAAATCAATGTCAATACAAAGCTGTAAAGCAGAGTGAGATGTTGGTAATAACTTCCTTATGTTTTTTGAATGTATAACTTAAATTATTAAAGACTAAAACACCTAAAACTTATGGGTGATTTTACAACATTTAAAAGCCTGAGATTTTCCTGATATTCAACATTAAAAACACCTAAATAATTGATTTTTCATCGTTTGTAGCAAATCCAAATGAAATTATAAACTTACTTTAAAATGACCCATCTTCAATAAGGTAAATCAATATAGGGGGAATGTCCCCTTCGACAGCTTAATACTCACTAGTTGTTCAACTCCACACGATGGATCCTCCTTAACAGGCGCCAGACTTGCCGCTGAGTTGTCAGCTGTTTGCGGCAGGTTACTGCTGCTACTGCTCGCCGCTGCCGCAGTGAAGAAGCCGAACTCAGTCATTTTTGGTAACTTTGAAAGCAGCTTCCTACCTTCATTCTTTTTTTCTCCTCTTTTCAGCACCGCTAGGGTAACTTCTTTTCATCTTTTTTCTTTCCTTTCTTTTCTCTTCTCCGCTCTGCTTGTATCGTCTCTTCGCGCCGTTTGTTTTTTTCAAATAGTTTGCTGCCGTGTGTTTGGACCTTTCTGCCCATGCGCAACAAATGGACTGAACCAATGTAGTGGACACTGTAGGGGGGGCCCCGAGACACACTTAATATTATAAGCATTCTAATGCCATTTTAGCGAAAGGATTTTTTTCAAAAACATAATTAATGTGCTCAAATAAGTAATTGCTGAATTAACCATACATGTAAAATGAGTTTTAGGGGGCCCCCCAGGAACTCGGGGCCCTAGGCAACTGCCTAGTTTTGCCTAATGGTAAGTCCGCCCCTGCTCTTGATAAACAACCAGTCACATTCACTTTATTCAGTCGTGTAAAGCTGTGCACCACTCAGGAGAATTTGGAAATGTAACGGTTGGAACAGCCGTTTCCCTATGATTTTAAGGCGTGAAGGACCATAATCTTTATTAGGGTTGGCCATAGTTTAAACTTGAATGATTTTGGTTCTAATTCTGATTCCTCATTTCAACTCCAGCTCCTATCAAATATCCTATCCTAGAAATATCCTATGGGATAAAAAAAAAAAAAAAAAAAAAAAAAAAAACTCAATTAAAACATGTAAACAGCAGCAAAATGAAGATCCATAAATTTTATGAGGTAGGAGCAAACACTCTGTGTACACAACTTCAGTTGATTCCTAATTGGCTAGGTGTAGACTTTTGTAACCATAGATAAGGATACAGTATTCCCTAAATTAGCACAA